AGATTCATCCAACTCTTTCCGAATACACTGCGCTGTCCTCAGATTGACACCCAAACACTCTGAAATGTTTGTATTGCAGCTTCTGGCATGAATGCCAAGCAGTACAGCATGCTGTTTCCAAATTTCTTGTAGAGTGAATTGTGTCATGTGCTACTTTTCTCACAGATGGTGCCCAACTGGCCTTACTATACTGTGTAGTCAACAAAATCAAAAACGATGTGGATGCACAAAATTAAAAATATAAAACGGCGACAATTTACCCATCGCATCCTGTATAAAAGCAAATGTTATTAAAAACAACAGACATTTTATGTTGAATTATTTTATTGATCGACTTTTCCAAATTACAAAAAAATCCTTCTCAGATAAGGAAGAAATTCCGTCAGAAATTCTCCAAACTTCATTTAAGAAATATGGTCCAAGCTTTCGACTTTCTTAGGTCATCATCAGTATAAGTAGAGCAAATAGTGAGTTTCATAGGACTAGTGAGTGTAGTGGTGATTTGTAGCTTAGATGTAGCACAAGGCTGAAAATATGGGGCACCCAGTGAGGATTGAACTCACTTTTCAATTGATCAAGTTTGCTAATCATTGCAACATGTTGAAGCGTCCCTAGTGAATGTAGTGATGTGGACAAAGAATGTTGTGGCGTAGGTGACATTTGTGTATGTATGTTTATTTTTTTTTTTTTTAATTATTTTTTTATATACATTTAAGTATATGGGCTACTTAAATTATAATTGTTTTTATTTATAGATGGTTGCTTTTATTATATGAGTATTACTTTGAGGATTGTAAGTTTGTTTTTACTGTTTTATTTTACTGCTGTTTATTAATGTGTTGTCTGATGGCACTCTGATCTGATAGGTGGCAGGTGAGTCTCCGGTCGTGTATATATCCTATGCAAGACATTTTGATGTCGTTATTTACAGAGAAACATTCTCGATGGGCAAGTATACTCATACACAACATTGATCTTGAATAGCAGGTTGGAAGTCTGGGATATGTTATTTTTAATAACTAGATGTAAAAATTCAGATATAAATAAAATATATCTATGAAAAGACAATCAGAATCAGAGTACGCAAATTCAAGTGTCCTACGAGGCTGGCATCCCACTCTCACCCTTTCACTGTTGAAATCGTTAAATGTAGCCACCTCTTCTACTCCAATAGCTTCATATCTTGCACCTCTCGCATGTGGAACTCCCTTCCCTATTCCTGTTTCTCTGATAGCTATAATCTCCAACTATTCAAATGTAATGTCAATCGACATCTCCAGTTGCCTTGATCTATCCACTATTCTTCTCCTCATCCTTTCCTCTATCATTCCTATCTGCTCTCGCTCCAAATTCTCTGTAACCCATTGCATGCTAGTGGCTTCTCGCCTTGCTAGGGGTGAAATGCTTAAAAAAAAAAAAAAAAAAAAAAAAAAAAAAAAAAAAAAAAACTTTTCTTTACCAACACATTTCATCCTCTAACAGACTTTATCAAGGTAAATGTAAGGATCTTATTTTGCAACATGTATTTATGAACAAAGTTAAAAAATATTAGATTTTCAAAATTTTAAATTTAAGATCACTCAAAAATATTCTGAAGGATAACTGTGAAGGTCATTCTGCTCTGGAGATGTTTTGCTGCTCCTGGACCAGGAGAACTAGTGAGAACACAGGGTATCATGAATAAAGAGAAATATTTGGCTATTCTTAAAAATAATATAAAACAAATTGCACAAAAGCTGTCTTTGGGACATCAATGGCCGTTCCAACATGTCAATGACCTGAAACACATACCACAAATTGTTACAAAGTACTTAGATGACAGTAAAGTTATGGTATTGGCATACCCTGCACAAAATCCTTACCTAAATCCTATTGAAAATTTATGGGTATATTTGAAGGAAAAAAATAAAGAAAGAAGTCCTTCAAATTTGGAGGAACTAGAAGCTATTGCTAAGGAAGAATAGAGCAAAATACCTACCAGTGTGTGTAGTGGTCATGATTAAAGGCAATAATCAAGAATAAAGGTTAAACAAATCTTTATTTGTAATTATGGAAGGGAGGGTGTGTGAATAATTCTATCCACATTTCTGTGTGTGTGTGTGTGTGTGTATATATATATATATATATATGGTATAACAGCAAAATTATCCAAATTGTGTAACAGCATGCAATAAGTGACCATCCCACATCCAAAATGTTTAATATCTAAAAAAAACACTAAACTAATTGAGTTTCTTTTTCCCAGGTTTTCAGGTAAGATGTTTAGCCATCTTGACACCATCTGCTGTAAGAATCACTGAAAAAACCTTTGAGTTATTCAGCTAAAAAAGGAATAGGTTAAAATTGTTTTGTGTCGGCACCACTATGTCTTCAAATGGTAAGAGAAAAAAAATCATTCAGGCCTTCAGGAATGGTACCAACATTCATACTCTGGCTTCCATCTTCAAAGTCCATTCAAGAACATCAAGAGAATGGTGAATAAGTTTAAAAAAGAGGGAACAGTAGAGAGGAAATCTGGATCAGGAGGTCACAACAGGAAGAGGAATCATCATTTCAACTTAGAGAGATCAATTAGAAAAGATCCAACAAAGACATTTGGCCCGTGAGAGAGGAGTTTCAGCTATGATAGTCCAAAGAGCAGTTAAAAAAGACTTGAAAATGAAATTGTATGTGAAACCTGTGAGGTAACTTGTTACTCCAGGACAGAAAATTAGGTGATTAGAGAGGGTGAAGATCATCTTGAATAAGTTGGAAAATGATCCTGGAATAATATATATATATATATATATATATATATATAATTTGAACTTTATTTCAATCCTTTATAAGCTTCCAATCCTTAGCTATGATTAATTAATGATGAACATGTCATTTTTGTTTATGATCGATTTCATCATGATTTTTCTGTTAAGCTTGAAGAGTAATTATACATTCCTATTGCTCAAAGTAGAGTCCAATAGTGTTATAAAAACCTTGGAAAATTCCAATAAGATATCTTCAATAATTTCTAAGATACACTGGTTCAAAGCTTAATCTAACAATTGGACAATTTTGCTGTTACACCGGGTGTGTGTGTATGTATGTATATGTATGTTTTTTTCAGTGATACACACACACACACATACACACTATTTTATATATGTGGTTAATCTTTTATCCTACTATCCTGGCTTAACCTAACCCTAAACCTAACCTTGGGTTTTACTAAATCTTTACTGTTAAAAGGCTGCCAAGTCTTCTGCTTTTCCACACTGAAATCTCAAAAGTTTAATGCACCAGATTCAGTCCAAGCTAGAAAGCAAATCAAATATAATGGGGATAGAGAGAAAGCAGAAATAACAACGGGTGGAGGCAACTGTCTTCTACAGAGAATATTTATTTGATAACGTTCACTTTGGATATTGGCTTTCTTCCCATCAAAACACGATTAACTGCAAATACTTTCAATTGAAAATAACACACACACACACACAACTTCTTTAAATGCAATCGATATCCAGGAGTTTTATAGCATTTTTTTTGTTTGCAAATTTGATTTATTTTCTGTAGCCATTAACTTCTCACTAATATTGAAAATCAAAATCATTCCAATGATGCAAATTACTATACGGACTTTGAATTTCATTTAATTTCTTTCCTAATGGTGATTGAAGCTAGTCAAAAGAATTTTAACAAGAACTTTTTTAACAACAATATTAATCCTGTACAAGGCCTAAGAACCACTTGAGGTAGAGGATTACATAAAAAAAGGCTTTAGAAGGAACCTGGAAAAGCAATCGTAAACAGGAAACAAGGGATAATACTGTACACCTGTTCAAAAGACCCAGAAGGGGTGTGAACCAGACGATAAGCAAAATTATCTACTATTGAGAAAAGAAAAAGTAATTTAATAGTAAATAAAAGTTCAGAGTTTTAGGCAGCGATGTTAGACGTATAAAGTTGAAGTAGACTTTAGAAAGAAGCTGAAACCCAATCCTAAATAGGAAACAAAGGAAAAAATTTACTCCTGTCAAAAAGATTGGGGAGGGGGTATGCACTGGATAATAAGTGAACCTATCTACTCCAATTGAGTAGAGTAGTCAGGTACTTGTAGGAATGGTAGACTTGGTAGTGAGACAGTTTTAATGGGGTTGAATGTGGGGGTTTATTGTATGTACCCAGTGTTATATGTAGTTGATAGAGGAATCCTTTTCTCTTTTATTGATTTTACTTCTTTTGAAAAATTTGTGGTTATGGGTAGCATTTGAAACTGTCAACTGTGGAGTTTCATGTAGCAAAGAAGATACATCTGTGTTGTTTTTTTTACTATTGCTCATGGCAGAATGGTATGAAATATCATCATAATAGTCATACCCACAGAGGATATGTGCACAGGCATGATAACCCCAAATACAAACTTTGAATAGTTTCTTTAGACAGATAGAAACAATAACTTGTATGCTCTCTTTAACAAAACTTTTTTTTTGGTTTATAAAGATGTAAAATTTTAAATGAAACACTTATTGTTTATTTTACTACTAAGTTCTGTTATTTTATGTAAAATGGATAAATTGTGAAGATAAATTTGTGTGTAACATTAAATGTAGAATATTTGAAAGAATTATCTTCTTGAATATCCTTGAAATATTAGAGATCTAAAATCAACAAGGTAGTATCAATAAGTTTGTAGACTGACACAATTATTTGAATGAATTAAGATCTGAAATTTCCACTGTTAATGTTTGATCAATGTGATTAATATTCATTACTGAATGAAGTGCACTGACAAAGGAGATTTTGTTGAAAAATAAATGTTTTTTTTTTCATTATAGGCTACAAATCTATTCAGATTGATACCTATGTAAATAGTTGCAATGACTTACAATTCTCTTTGAAGAGACTTTGGTGCATATTCATCTTTTTTCTTTAGTCAATAAAATCAAAATGAATATATAACCCATGTCAACTGAAGGTCTACAATCTCCTTTTCTGGCTTCTCTTTTTGTTTGCTTATGGCCATAAGTTGACACACCGGTTCCCATATGATCACCAAAGTTAAGCAAAATCGTGCCTGGTCAGAGCCTAGATGGGTGACTGCTTGAGAATATTCGGTGATGTAAAATTGGATGTGTGGGTGGTGTAATGGATAATAATGAATTGTGAATCAAAGAGCCAAGTTCCAATTTCAGTTGGGTTTGTTATATTCTCTTACATGCAGATACACTTGGGGAAGGTATGAATCCATCTCTTCTCTCCAACTATGGGTTAATTAGTAAGCCTTGTATCACTAAATCCTTATTATCTAAAAAAAAAAAAAAAAAAAAAAAAAAAAAAATAAATATGAATGAATCAAAAACAATCCGTTGTTGTCAACTTCTTTTTAGCTAGTTTGGGGCACACACATTACATTCAAAAGCCAAGCACATTTTTTTTTCTTTATTATTTATAAAGAATTTATAAAGAATGCAACTCAACTTTTAATGACTAGCAAGAGAAACTAATGTGCAAAATCCTACAAACAGTTCAATTCTACAAACAAGAAAGTGAATGTTTCATCTGATTTTGTTACATCCACTTACACATAATTAACCTTAGGAACGGTATCAATCCATCTCTTCTCACCCAGCAAAATAGCAAAGCTGACTAGACTCTCTGGCAACCAGTCTAGGAAAAGGAAAATTCTTAATTAAAAAAAAAAAAAAAAAAAAAAAAAAAATCAGTCTGAAGCTGGACAGACTGTCAGGCTATTTTATCTTAGATACACCACTGTTGCAGCACATGTGGTGCTCCAAATGACCCTAATAGGTCTTGTTATTTTTAGTTAAAAAGTTCTACAAATAAAAATATAGACAATATGAATTGTCATAAGGACACAACCAAGTATACTATTATAACTGCCTTGTTCCAGATTTATTGTGAAACTAGTTCATACATGCTGTAAAAAAAGAAAAAAAAAAGAAAAAGAAAAGAAAACTAATATTTAAGTAATTTTGTAATGGAATTGTATGTATATAACATCTAAATACTATAACTTACAACTTCATATAACTTCTACTTCAGTCAAGCACTTTAGTCAAGCAGTGTTCTTGCATATAATTTATGTGTAAGAAAAGTCTGCTTAACCAATAAAAATCAAACAACACAAAAAATAAAAATATAATTTCTTTTTTAAATCTCATTCTCTAAATGAAGCATTAATAAAAGTGAAGCATTTATAAATGTTTCCCCATTTGTTCTTTATTCCTATAATTCTGTTGGATTCTGATCTATATCTCATCTGTATTTGATCCAAATTCATTACAAATGATAAATATAAACAGTCAATTGCTGATACTCCCTGATGAGTGGATGGAGTGATTTCTGGAGGGGGGTCCATCTATGAAAGTCTGGAGTCATGATGCTGAAGGTAACATCAATCAGCTAAGTGACAAATTTTATATTTGTATTATATATATATATATATATATATATATATATATATATATATACACGATATGTATATTTATTAATATATACTTAATAGTTCTGTTTTATTACGAGCAGTTTTACATCCAGCATTATATGTGCTATATATATATATATATATATATATATACACACGAAAAAAATATGCTATATTTATGGGTTAAAGCATTCAATATCAGGGGTAGATTGTATGTAAATATGAAAGTGGACATTGATGTCAACACCCAGAGGTGACAATTTGTTTCATGCTAAATGCAATTGTTTTGCCAGAAGATTGGATTTAGCATGAAACAGAATGTCATTTCTGGGTGTTGACGTCAATGTCCACTTAGCACACACTGCATTTTATATATGTGAATAAATTATTTGCATAATTAACAATCTGTTATGAAAAATAATTTTGGTTATAGCCTTGAACAAATTCTTAAATTCTATTTTTACTATAAGATTATAATTACTTGAAGAATTTGAGAAAACGTTAGTTAAAACCTATAAGTGGCATTCACTTGTACACACGCAGACAGACAGACATGACAACAATTATTTCTGGTTAAGTGCTTAAATATGTTTGCGGAGAAAGCATGCATGTTGTGGTGGGTGTTAAAACATGTATTGTCAGGTAACTTGCAATTTCTGTCACCCACATTTGGTTTGACTGTTCATTTCATACAATTGCCAGCCAGGAAACAAGATACTGGATGGGGAGGGATATTAAAAGCTTTGCCTCCTAAGAAATTTCAAATACCAGTGAATTTGCCATTGTTTTCTATTCAACTGTATTGCACTCAAGTGTAGACTCATTTATTATTGAATGAATGAATGCCATATGTCCTCTAACTTCCCACAGACTTTCTAACATCAGTTTCATGACTTTTATAATGATGTAAAAAGCCAGCAATACAGTATTTAGTCTGATTATTAATAGAGTTAATGCTGCTGTTGTTGTTATTATTATTAGTAGTATTATAAGCATGACTGAAAGATTCTATGGCACATCTTTGTAAAAGAAATTAAAGTAATTTGTATAATTTAGTACAAAAGAAAAATGTTATCTAGTTTTAAAAAAAAAAAAAAAAAAAAAAAAAAAAAAAAAATTTATACATTTTGCTTTCTGAATCAAAAGCCCAGTGGAGAAATGGCTTGGATTGCGGAATCAGAGAGCCAGGTTCAAATTCCAGTTGAGTTTCTTACATTCACTTATATGCAAATAACCTTGGGAAAGGTATGAATCTATCTCTTCTCCACCAGCTATGGGTAAATAGCAGGGCAAACTGGGTCCTATAGCCTTGAGTGGCAACCAGTCTATGAGGATGGCAACCCAGAATTCAAAACCTCCAAATCTGGGTCAAATAGCCTCACCAACCTGCATTTTTTTTTTTAACTAATGTTCACACAATACAAGGACCAAGAGCCACTCAAAGTAGAAGGTTACCGTGTGGACTTATATTAGTGTAGAAAAGAACAAGCACTAGGGATATAGAGCTGAAGCAGACTTTAGAAGGAACTGGAAACAATCCTAAACAGGAAACAAAGGATAAACCTCTAATCCTGTGTGGGGAGTACAGCTACACCCTTGAAGACATGGTTAATCAAAGAAGGGTTCCTTCAACAGGAGTGAGAAGGGTTTGGATTTGGATTTATGAATATAAAAATGTAGTTATACATTATTTTAAGAACTTTACAAAAAATACTTACCGCATAAGTTTTAAATTATAGGGGTGGATGTAGGAATACTCACATAAAGCACTGGTAGGTAAGTAAGTAGGTAGGTAAAAAAAAAGTGTATAGAGGTTAGAAATAGAATAAACTTGTATAATAGAACAAATCATTATACATCCTGCAATACACTAACTAAAGAGTTTAGGAATTTTTATGGTGAGTATATAAAGAGTATATTATGATTTGAATTCATATCTTTTACCTCAGAAAGCCAACTTATGTATGATAGATATTGTTGTGGCCTGTTTAGGGGCCAGAAAGAAAGACATGGAAGACGAAGGTAGGTTGAAAAAGTATATTGAAGATATATACAAAACAATAGTGTTAGTAATAAGTAGATTAGCACTGCGTCTACTACTCCGCTTCACACTCTTCAGCTCTCGTAGTTTGTATTTATGAGGGGAGGAAGAGTTCATTCTACTGTAGGAGGGTTTACCACAAAAGATAGTCTACTGATTGTGTGACAAGAACCCTTGTCAGTGGCAAGAAAATCAAATGTAACTATTAAACTCATTTTCTATTTTTCCTGTTAAAGCAACTATAATTTTAAAAAATACTAACAAAAAATTAGTCACCGACTAATACTTCTGTTAATAAATTTTAAAATTTAAGTAAATATTACTACTACTACTGGTATGCGCAAGAACAATAAAATAAATATGGTGCTGAGCAATCAGGGAAAATGAGTTTAAGTGTTAGATTTGATTTGCCAACCATAATATTTCTTGTAACTTAAATTGGTAGAGCAACTGCTATACATAGGCAGGCTTCTCAAAACAAAGGAAATGCAAGTTCAAGTATCACATCTTTATTTCTAATCTTTATGGTTTATTCATAGATTGACAGCCTGAATAAATGCAATGAAAAGCAATTAAAATGAAGAGGAAAAAATACTAGTCCAAAGATAGTGAAGAATAGATTTGCTATTTTCCAGTCTCCTTGTCTCACCTCTGAGCTAGTGCCAAGTGCAATTCATACAAAGAGCCCAGCAGCCTTGAATGCTGCAATAGCCAGTCCTTTGATTAACTGGTTTACTATCAATAGCAACCATTTGTCAAATTGGGAAGTGGGCCAACTTTCTCTTATTTTTTTCCTACCACAAGTAGAAACAGAAGATTGTCACCAAGAAAAGACAATCAGGTAACACAGCTTATAACAAGAAATAGTTAATAGTAATATGTTTTATTGACTGAGGCTGCATTGATAGATATTCAACTGAAATATTTTACAAGTACACAAATGCATGTAATGTTAATGTGTCAAAGAGAATTGTAACAGGTATGGATGACCAAAATTAAGCGAAACTGATTATCTTAGTTTATAAATTTTTGATTTTACAAGTATTTCAAGCTAACAGCAAAACAGCATACAAGACTTAAAGAATAATTATTTTATTATAATTGTGCTTGTCCCTTCCTTTGTTAGTTGGTAGAACCATTATAGCATAAATAATGGACTATTCCGTTTTGATCATGTGGAAAGAGGGAAAAAGACACTACTTGGTTTCAGTGAGAAAATGAAAGATTGGTTTGGTTTGCTTTTCGGCATATCAACCACAATGGGTTATTTAATGCTGACAAAATTTCCTTTTTTTTTTTCAAAAATGTATAGCTGGTAATAATTTTTTCTTTTTTTCAAAAATGTATAGTTTGGTTTGTTTTGTGGCATATTAACATCAATGGGTTAATGCAGACAAGATTTCTATTGCTGGTAAATTTTTTTTTTTTTCAAAAATTTATTGCTGATACTAATTTTTTTTTTTTTTTTCTTTACAAAGTATTTCTGGTATTAAAATCTATTTTTACACTTTCATAGTGTTTTCAGTCAGGTTGGTGGGGTCAACTATTTGCCTATAGATGGGACCCTAACAGGTGCTACCACCTCGGGTCAGGGTGAACCTGGGAACCACAGCAATTAAGAGGTGGTTACACGCTC